GAGATCGTACGTGTACTTCAGAAACATGAACTCTTTTGCTTATCGGGTAGCACTTGGTGGATTTTGTAATCTAATGTAAAAAGAGGCTATCACGTGTCACGTGGTAGGTATTACGTAGTAACTTGCCACGTGATACATCTTGATCTCACCCTCAACATTATTCCCAGGGTTTCTCGTCTTCAGTGTCGGAAGAAAAGAGAACCTGGGATCGAGTACGCATTCACTTGGGGCTATTTCTATTGTAACAATCGTAAACTACTGTGCCACATACTACACATAATGACTACATAAAGCTGTGATGTGTGCTTTCACAAAAACCCCGTATCCTGGTCATTTGTTTGTATCTAAGTTAGCGACAATTCCTAAAGTCTCTAAATGAAGTACCGGCAAATGGTGTCCGGCAAAGGTGGCACCCAAAACCAACCCACATCTGTAGGTCACTCAGAAATGAACGCAAGAGAAAGTAGAGTAAAACAAAAAAATATGTCTTGAGAAAGCGAGCTTATTCCGTTCTAAACCGTAATTATCTCCTAGATCCTGTGATCAAAAGCCATACCGTTAAGTTGTCACTGTCTGAACCTACCGACCAACTCTGGCTGTCTGATGTCCAGTTTGCTCGGCATTATAAAACGAGTGCAATCGTACTGGGGGAGTTTCATCATTTTCTGATCACTGGCCTTCAATCACTGCTCTTGCTTTCGTTCGTCATCACATCCAATTAGCATTGTCACCAGAAGAGCCCGTCGTTGTTGTCGCCTTATGCATTAGCCTGTAGTTCGGGACCGCTCGAACGCTTTCTGATCTGTACAGGCCCGCAAGTGATCCCGGCCCGCAAATGATCCCCGAACCGCAAATGATCCCGGGACCGGAACTGCCGGATTCCACCGCAAAAAGTTAGAAATGGCGTGGACTCCATGAAAAGTCTATGAATGGATACATATTTTCTTAATTATCCTAGATGAAGAAAAGGCAAGTACCTCAGGCATAAAAGCAGCAATAAAAAACGTTTATCATACTGCCCAAAGTACTAAATTGGACATGTGTCAACTGCATAAATTTTTCGTTTAGGAAACGCACTGCAAAAAGAAACATGAATCTTCGAAGGT